TCCAAAGGACTTCCTCAATCTGAGAAGCCACCAAACAAAACTGATTCGGGCCCAGAATGGAGCAAATGAGGGTGGAGGCAGGTGTGGGTGCTCCACCATTTCCGCCCACGTTTTGATGATATGATCAGTAGGATTCAAACCAGCAACTTTTTAATGACAGGCTCACTTCTCTAACCAGCACAAATAAAAAGTGTGACGCTTCATTCATTTGTTCACGTTTGATTTAAATATAAAACTTGTAGTTCTCGTTCAATTACACGCACGGAAAAATAAATGCACCACCACCAACATGGTGATAATTAAATGTAAAACCTCGTGCCTTCAACATCGTGGAAACCAAAGAGATGTTCTCACACCCGCTGACACATATTAGTGTCTACACGGATCACTCTCTTCCTGACAAAACAGGCAGGTAAATCAATCACGTTGCACAATCGCTAATACGACACACAAACGCACTGAAAAAAAGGTAAAATGTAGGTTAAAGTGAAGCTTTGAGTGACAGGTCTCTCTTCAAACTGTTCTCTAAATAAACTGGTAAAGTTAGAATCCCAGAGGATTCGTGCTTCTGGTGCAAATTACTCACAAATCTTATTAATTCAATTCAAAATACTTATAATAATAATAATAATAAAGAACTGTTTCATTGTATTTCCTGACACATTTCTTTTGTAAGCTGATTGTTTTCTTAATGGGCCTAAATACACCGGCACGTGAAAGTTCATACATACCGTATTTTTCAGACTATAAGGCGCATTAAGCGAAACAAAACAGTCAGATAAGTCAAACTTTATTCAACTCATTCACAATAACCACATAAAATCGGTTCGAGGTCAGTAAGCACAACCAGACTTAATACATAAGGCTCACTGTTGATTTTTGAGAAAATTAAAGAATTCAAAGTGCACCTTACAGTCCAAAAATACACTTTTTGTATATTTCTGGATAAATGATTCGGAACTTCATCTACCGATCTTCATCCTGCACATTTTCAATTTAGACATTCCCAAAGTCTGTTCATTAATGAGCAAAGAAAACAGTTGCATGTGCTGCTTCTCTTGCTTTGAATCAGCTGCAGAGTAATGTGAATTTAAAGAAACCAGCACTATTAAATAAAATGAAAAATATTTCAAGGATAATCGGATATGTCCAGTTGCTAACATTATGATTGCTCATTAGCCCTAAAGACCTGCAATAAATGTTGATTAAAACCATTTGAGTGTTAAATTATGTTCACTTTCACCACACATCTGCACATGAATTTATTTTTATAGGTAGGCACTTGTTACCGTGAACCTTGAGCAGTGGTGGAAATCGGAGGCTAAAATGAGCATTTCATGGATTTGATGGATTCTGCTCTAGTTTGAGAAGTAAAATTACTCCATCTACAGTAACGAGTGAGTAAATGCTCTGCTTGCTGCAAGTCCAGAAAATGAACATCCTCCGTCAAACAAACATCGCTGCACAGATATCGATTTTTTTAATTTCCTGAAACTACAGTGGGTTTGAAATAAAGCTAAATGAACGTGTTCTCATCGTTTTTTTTTAATAAACACAATGCACAATCAATTCTGCATACTAAACAAATCCACACGAAAAGAAACATGAAAACCTTTACGTATTGAACAAATTGTTATTTACCGAAGTACGTGTTAATAACCGAGCACGAGACACCGTCTCTTCTTTAAACTCCCTAAAACGAAAACAGCTTCACCCTTCATCTGAGTCTACGTCAAGTTTTTGCAAGTTTAAAAAAAAAAAAAAGTAATTCAAATAGTAAAAATGCCTGAATGAGCTGGAAGATCAGCTGTGTGTACTATGATATACAAAAAAAGTCAAACCTTTGTAAGATAATCACATAAAATACCAAAAAAAAACAATGACATCCAAAAAGCAGAGTGCAGTGCAGTGAATGTGCACATGTTTGTGCACACAGACAGGCAATAGACAGGCATCCATTAAATAAAGGATGAAAGCAACAACCTCTATCTTCTCTTCAGTCTCCATTCCACCCAAGCTGCATCAAAGACGCAGCGGGACACGTAGGCCAGTAGGTGCCTCCGGCAAGAGAAAAAACACATTTCTTAACTCCATTTCTAAACCGATCCCGACTCTACTGTTCAGGTCAGTTTGGACAGACATCTCAGGGGGTTCTGGGGCCAGAGGCACAAGCGGGCTCCTGTGTTTCTGTCTGTTCAGATGGTGCAGGGTTAGAACTGGGAGTGCTCTCCTCCTTCCTGTCTCCAGAGAGGAATTCATGAACAGCAGTTTCTATCTGCGGCCGGAACGTGTGGTTCATCTTAGGGTCCACGACCTGAGTTATAATCCGGTCCACTCCAGACTCCAACATGCCCGATCTGGAAGAACAACACACAAACACGAGCTAAACCAAAAGAAATGAAAGCTAACAAGTGACACATGAGACGGCAAATATTGTTAGACAGTAAATTATGAACATTCATGCGTGGCAGTTTTTAATAGTTTTACCCTTTGATTTGTTTTTCATATTGTTTAACAGTTTATTTTTGTTATCCAGTTTTGTGTATGTAAAATGTGTAGCGTCCAACCAACGTCCCTCAAAAGGACAAACCGTCTTCAGAGACAGTGTCTCCTACCCCCCGTCTCTGCGCTAATCTGAGACAAGACAAATATTTGCATTCTGTTCTGAAACAGGAACTGTTTCTTTTTACCCCCCCTCTGCTAAATCTACAATTCAGGTCGACATCCTGGACCACCCTGGCTCCACACATACTGTATGATAATTAACCCTCTGTGTTAATAAACCGCCCTTTGTGCCAATTAACCCCCATCCTGAAAAGACAGACATGAGAGAAGTCAGTATCACCAACTGACTGAACCCAATCAGCCTCAGGATAACAGAACTGGTTGCCATAGTAACAAAGGAAGTAACCCACTGTTTTCAATGTGTGCGCGTGTCAGGAATCAAAACTTGCTTTTGCTGGGCGATTAATTGTCTCATTATTGCGATAAACGATAATATTGTTTGAACTTTGACAATAATTAGTAATGTCAAATTTAAGAAGAAATGTTGGTTAATTTTTGTGTGTAGTACCATTTTTGACCACTAGATGAAAGTATAAGACTGTTTGAACAGAAGGATGGAGCGTGAGGGAGCGAGCAGCGTGTCTCTTTAAGAAAAAGGAGTTAAAATGGATTTTAAAGAGAAAAGGAGGGGTCAGTGAAGAGCTCTGGAGTTGAACCTTTTGTCCTCCAGTGTCTTCAGTAGAAAGAGAGAGACACAAAGAAACGATAAAGCCGATAAATAAAAATGAGGTCTATAATTTTCATTTATCATGCGATTAGCTGATTTATCGTTTATTGCGACAGGCCTAGGTGTCACCATTTTCAACAAAAGCTATTGTGTTCCTCCTTTAAAGACTAAACTAATGTACGCAGCCTTTGTTCACACCCACTGGGGGCTGCATTTTGACTGGTTAAGATGAGGCGCACGACCACTCGGTGCGTCAGGTAAGCTGACACGTCAGGTGTTGTTGAAGTGGGAGTTGAGAGAAGCAGTCTCATCATGGTTGAGAAGGAGAATGTTGGAAGAAGTTGTCAGAAGCTGGCTGAGGTGTTGCACGTGAGCTGCAGAGAGTTGGCTCTCCAGAAGTCCGCGGGACTCCGAGCCAGTCAGCTGAGAAACGGAAAAGTCCACGAAACGCTCAAACACCCCGAGAGTGAGGCACGCCCGGCTGGACCCAACATGGTCCCCGAAGGGAAAACAACCCTCCGGTGACAACGTGACCCTCCGGCCTCAGTCATCATATCTGTTGTGGTAATGAGCGATGGACACCTCCCTGGTAGGACAAACGTCTTCCTTCTGATGAGAACAACTCAGTGCCAACTCGAGTTCTTTAGACATTCATAATTAGTTCACAAATCTGAGATAAAGTTTACCTCAATTTTAACATTAGAGCCAAAACTTTAGTCCAAATTGAATATACCTCTTCTCAAAAGTCTTCAGACTATTTACATCATTCACCTTTTGAAATAATACTATTGGTTACTCATTCATATTTCATATTTACTATAAGTACATATTGTCATTATTCACAAGCTGAAAATAAATGTTACAGAGTTGTGTATTTAATTGACCAGATTCTTTGTCTTTTCTTCGAGTGAGGAGAATTACAATTGTTACAAGGACTCACGTTATTCTTTTGATTGAGGTCGGTCAACATTTATTACATAACTCTGAACGGTTGGTGTAAACACCTGTTAAAAGGTGCTCAGACCCCTGAACAAATATTTCTAACGTTGCAAGGCCAGAAGTCGTTCTTTCCCCACATAAGACTCTCCAGATGCTCCTTAAAGTTACTCATTGCAAACTACGAAATCAAACACACAAGTTTATTGTAAACTATATCAGACGGTGTTTGAATGTGTTTAGTAGTTGTACAGATCTCTTAATATGCAAGTCTGATATGTGGGTATGCACTCAGAGTAAACAAGGCACTCTGCTGAATCCAAACACCACGTGGAAGCTTGACTTGTATGACTGATCTGCGTTAGGCTGGCTGTAGTTGAGTAGGTAAACAAATATAGTGGGATCGGACAAGCGTAGAATGTCGAAAAAGACGTTTAGGTGGAAATAGAAGAGTGAATCTGCTGCTAAACGCTAAAGAGAACGATGGAACAAAAGTGATAAGACTAAATATCAGAGCTCAAGCAGGGCGGTGGAGTCTTATAAAGACAGAGCTCTGCATTCAAACACATGCAGCTTTTGCAAAACGTCTAGATCGGTAAGTTTAGTGTTCTGACCTAATCAATCTTTTTTTGCACACTTAAGTCAACAAATCTGAGTGTAAATTCCTACGACGACATCAAAATGGTTCGTCCTCTCAATCCCAAATGGCTCTTCCATGGACTTTGCCATTGTCGACCTAATTTCAGTCGCTTCAGCTGTTTCTTTAAGTAAAAAAAATAAATAAAAATCAGGTAGAACTTGACAGCCGTTTACAAAATTTGCTTCCAATTTTTTTTTTTTTTTTACTGAGGAACACATTATCGATATGAGAATAAGAATGGGTATGGATTTAAGTCCTTACTTTATGAATTTTATTCCTGACCAGTATTCATGACATTGCAATGAGTACTCAATGGATGACTTGTAGTTGTAACACAAGCTCAAACTGTTAAAGAGTCTAGTGGTCCACTGTGTTTGAGCAAGCGGTCTAATAATCCAAGTGCCTTCTACAAGTCGAAAAGTCGGGTTGCGGGGCTTAAAGTGGAACTTATGCACTCTGAAATGGAACATTTTGCACACTTAAGTCACAGTTCAGTGCCCCTGTAGAAGTGAGCAGCAATGTGTACTACAAAGCAATGCCAAGCTAGTTTCAGTGTAAAGAAAAACGTCAGAGGACTTTTCGGTCAAAGGATATAGATGTTTTTATTACTATGGCTGAGAACAAGAATCCCAAGACATAATCGAGTCTCCCAGGGACTATCTTGTCTCTGCCCATGATCCACGTTTGGGTTAGCGTAGAGCGCTCGGTGGGAAGGCTGCAGCTGCAGCAAAGGACACCTCCTCTGTGAACTCAGCTGAACTGATAAGGGTATAAAAGCGAGCAGATAACACAGCTCGAGGCAGATTCTTGTGACCTTGCAATCCCGGTTAAAGATCTTCTCCTGCCATCGAGTGTGGTTCTTTTTGGGTTAACAATGTAAGCAAGAATATTTTTCTCCCACAAAACCACTTGTAAAATATTACCCTAAACTAAAACAGATAATGTCCTTGTTTAACAGACAATGGTGGAGAAAGTGTGTAACTACAAGGCAAGTTTTAGAAAAGCATCACAAAACTCCCTAACTGGACTACATAGGGAAAGCTGTGGCAGAGTGGTTAGAGCAGTCGTCATCCAGTGGGAGAGTCGGGGGTTCGATTCCACCAACAGTCACATGTGTCCCATCGGTCTATGAATGTGATCGTCTCTACAGATTCAGAATATCTTTGTAGAGATGTACTAGAAGTCTGTATGAATGTGTGTGTAGAGGTAAATAATAATGGTCAGTTCTAGAATTGCGCCGCTCAAGGTGGCTGCATGTTGGAGCAGCTCTGTTACTTTCATTCAGAGATTTTGCTTTTGGAAACTGTGATTCCTCTTTTTCTGGATGTGGGTCGCATTTTTTGGATGGTGGTTTTCTCTGGTGTCAGATGCTGTGCAGCTGTAAGGATTTTTACTGAAACTTTTTTTAGTTTTGGACATTTGTTATGATGCGTAACCATGGCAACAAGGCAGTTTTCTACAACCAACAGCAGCTGATTAACATCTCAAAAGCTCAAATAATATCTCAACTACAGCCCCAAATCTCAAATGAGTTGAAAAGGATGTTCTGTGGACACATTCTCATCAACCTGCCAGCTGTGCTCGAGTGCCTGACCACTGAGATCCTGGAACTAGCAGGAAACACGGCTCATGACAGCGGAAGGACAGGATCATCCCTCGGCACCTACAGTTGGCTGTCCGCAGTGACGAGGAGCTCGGCAGAATGCTGAGGGGAGTGACTATCGCTCTGGGAGGAGTTCTGCCCGGCATTCGGGCGGTCCTACAGCCCGAGGGAACCAAGAGGCCATCCGAGTCTGGGTGGACGGATCAGACGGCATCTGCAGCCAGTTTCTTAGGATCCACTGTGGGATGAACCTTTAGAGATTCTTCCTGTCTACAGCCATCAGTATCTTTAACATCTCTTAATGAAATGAGGATAACGAGTTACTACAACAAATAATTTCCTCTGGGATTAATAAAGTATTTTTTAATTGAATTGAATGAGGGCACAGATTGTGTTGTAAAGAGCTTTGAGTATCTTGATTGGATAGAAAGGTGCTATACAAGTACAGTCCATTTACCATTTACATGGACTTCCACTAAAGCAGAAACACGTCCACACAGAAAACAATGAAAATACTCTGCTTACTGAACAACACTTTGTCTCAGTCCATTCCTCATCTGGTTCTTGTTGTTGGACGGTTTCCAGTCCTGGGTGCTCAGGTGCGACGTGACAAAGTTGTCAACTTTCTGTCGCAGGTTCTGATAGGCAGGCTGGGAATGAGAGCGACAACTGGGTGAATTGCACTTTTACCTCACTGATAAATGCTGCCAAGAGCATATAACTTTCAAATGCTGTTTTTGACTCAGAAAAGTTCAATGAAAGCAAAATAGTTTAAAAGAAAACGGAGTACCTTGGTGTCAACATCGGCCAAACAGTCCCGACGAAACTCGTCAAAAAGTCCCTGGTTCTTTAGATGCTCCACGATCATGGCGATAAGCTGCGGGTCTCCCGGAGGAAGACTGGCTGTATTAACATTAACATTGCCGCTACCCTCCGCCATTCCAAATCCCGGGATCTTTAGTTTACTTACCAGTTAGCTGCATTGAGCTACTTTAGCTACCAAAGCTACCTTAGCTGAGCCATCGGTGCTAACATAACCCCTACGTGATGTGCGTTTAATTCATTTTTCTACAAACTGCGGACTCGGTGAGTTATACGTTTTTGTTTCGATGACGGTAAACGGTAGATACCAGGATTCAAATCAAACGCTTCGCTTTGTTAGTCGCGCATGCGCGTTTAGAATCTGACCTCGGAAACGTTTCATTCAAGTGCCGTCGCGGACTCACGTAAACACCGTCAATTTGGAAATAAAATTCAATTATTTTCCCTTTAAACAATTTTAACGCTTAAAATCTGAATCGGATCTGTGAGAAAGTTTGATTAGAGGCGTATTGTTTGTTGTTGTTTTTTAAACTGCGGAGACCTTCGACCATTTTAAAGGTATAGTTAGCTTTGCTAGCTAATCCTCATGCCGCTTGTAGCGCATTGATTGTAAAATGTAAACAAGTTAATTATCTTGATATGAAGTGAATTACAACAACTCTATAACATCTATCAGTGGTGTTTAAAATAACAATGCGTCTGGTTGATAGCCAATTGTGTTTAGTCGTCAGTTTTCATTAATCAAATAATAATTTGCTTACTTTATGTTTTGATGTGTTTTGTTTGCCGAGTTGCTACGGCCAGTTGTTTATAAGAAAGCTTGGAACATGTAAATATAAATATTTACTTATGGTAAATTGGACATATTGCCCTACAATGACAGTGAAATAAGTTAAAAGGCTTATGATTTGATTAAAAAACATTATACATTTAAAGCAGCATCTCATTGATCAGAGTAATGTTCCTGTTGCAGATGAGTGGTGAGCCAAATGCAAACAAGGAGTTTTTGGAGCAGCTGCAAATGCAGGAGCTGTATGGACGGAGAAGTGAAGACGGCTCAGATCTCATCACTTACACCGACCCAGCAGATGGAACAGTGTATGACTGGGACCCTGAAAAGAAAGCCTGGTTCCCTAAAGTATGGGATGCATTACCTACTCAGCCTTTCTTTACCTTCATTGTATTTGCTCTTTAAGATATTTTTTGTTATTGTTCTCTTACAGACTGTATTTTCTAGTAACTGTTGTGATTGTCCTACTTTTTGTCCTTTGGGATGATGGTGCAGTGTGTAGCATACTAACCAAATCTTAGTTCCCACCCTTAAATGTGTTATGACCCATTTTGTTCAAAACTCCAAAATCAGAGTATCCTGATGCATGCTCAATAATCCAGGTAGAAAAATCTAAAAAAGTTAAATCTGGTCCTCTGGACATTAAAAAAAAAAAAAAACAAAGCAAATCAACAAAAAAATGTAGAAACGTTTCGTCTCTCATCCGAGAGACTTCCTCAGTCTGAGGAGCTGTATTCAGCTCAGTCTCTTAAATAGCACCGTCTCAGGGTGGATCAACCAGTTTTGCTGCTGACAACCAAAACCAGCTTATCACATGCTCAAGAAGGACCATCAGCATAACAATGGATCATTAGCACACTGATGGCTGTTTACTGTTCACAGAGGGCTGAGTGATACTAGCAATCACAGCATTGTAAGAGGGGGACAGTTGAACCCGGAGGCCTCCACCCCTGTTTAATGATGGACGGTTTCTTTTCACAAAGATGGCCTCCTTTACTCCTCTCTCAAACCATCGTTCCTCTCTGTCCAGGATGTGAACATCTTCATCCCTGAAAGAGTGACCGCTGGCCTGGAGATGAGTGTAGATCGCACACAAAGATGGCCTCCTTTCCTTTACTTTCCTTTAGCGGTCTACACTCATCTCCAGGCCAGCGGTCACTCTTTCAGGGATGAAGATGTGCACATCCTGGACAGAGAGGAACGATGGTTTGAGAGAGGAGTAAAGGAGGCCATCTTTGTGAAAAGAAACCGTCCATCATTAAACAGGGGTGGAGGCCTCCGGGTTCAACTGTCCCCCTCTTACAATGCTGTGATTGCTAGTATCACTCAGCCCTCTGTGAACAGTAAACAGCCATCAGTGTGCTAATGATCCATTGTTAGGCTGATGGTCCTTCTTGAGCATGTGATCAGCTGGTTTTGGTTGTCAGCAGCAAAACTGGTTGATCCACCCTGAGACGGTGCTATTTAAGAGACTGAGCTGAATACAGCACCTCAGACTGAGGAAGTCTCTCGGATGAGAGATGAAACGTTTCTACATTTTTTTGTTGATTTGCTTTGTTTTTTTTTTTTTTTTAATGTCCAGAGGACCAGATTTAACTTTTTTAGATCCAAAATCAGAGTGTTTTCTGAAGGAAAAAAAAAACAAACACGCATGCCTTTAAACCTTTTAATTCTCAGCCTTTGATTAAACAAGGAATATGAATTAAAAACAATTCAAAGGTTAATCTGTCTGCTTTAATTATAATTTACTGATTTAGTCTTTACGTTTTGTAGTGTTTTTTAATTTAATTAAATATAGCTGTCTTGAAAATGTTGATTAAATTGAGACCATTGCTTTACGTTTTAACTTTAAGTATTTCAAGACCATACTGGTTCATCACACTATATCTAAAGTGCTTTTCTGACACCACAGCTGTAGTGCCTGAATGGGAGAGTTTATGAGGGCTCATTAGGTATTAAAATACTAATAATTGTTTCACTGTTAAGCTGCATGACTTGAGCTATGACCGGCTAAGACTTGCTGTTCATTCACAGTCTGGAAAACTATGTATAATTTATCATCAATTAACTGTTTTCTTCTGTTTTAGTTGTAAATATTTGAATAATTGTTACTTCCATAAGGTTTGGCAATATGTTTCAGTTGTCTTTTTCTTGTTAGTGTTAAAAAAAAAGGTTTGCATTGTTTCTCTAGATAACAGAAGACTTCATGGCAGCCTACCAGGCCAACTATGGCTTCAGCCAAGAAGGAGATCCAGATGAAAATAAAGCAGCACTAAGCAGCTCTGACCCAGCACCTCCTGAACCAAACAACAAGACACTAGAGAAAGAGAAACCAGTAGATCCCCTCCCTAATCCAGTCCCAGAACAGCAAGAGACCTCTGCAAAAGAAGCCAAGCAGAAAGGGGAGAAGAGGAAACCAGAGCCAGGTAAACTGACAACACAAACAGAACAGTAAAAACATGCAGTTAGGAAACTGTACATTTTATAAACCCAGAAGCGCTGCTTTTAATATATCGTTTCGTTTTCTCTGATTGTAGGATGGTTTGATATTGACGAGCAGAAAAACACAAACGTCTACGTGTCAGGTTTGTCTCTCCAAATACAAAGTTGTTGACTCAGTACCCCGTCTTATTTCTCGCTCTAATTTCCCTCTTGCTCTTTCTCAGGTCTGCCTCTTGACATCACACCTGACGAGTTTGTCGAGCTGATGTCCAAGTGTGGCATTGTGATGAGGGACCCCATTTCTGATGAGTACAAGGTGAAACTCTACAAGGACAAAGATGGAAATCTGAAGGGAGACGGCCTCTGCTGTTATCTCAAGGTCAGCCTGCCTTTCTGATGTCTAAAGATGACTTTATACTCTCCATGTTTTGTGTCTCTGAGACTTTTCCTGGTATGAATCAGTATACAGTTTTTCTTTCTTTCAATATTTTAAATAACTACCTTAAGATGAACAGTTAAACACCAATGACTTGGTACAAGCCTGATAAAAATATATAGATAATAGTGGACACTTGGGAATTTTAGTTGTCTTCAAAAGTTTCGTTTTTGGACCAGTTGGCAAAATAAATGTCAACGATGTGAATTCTGATCTGGCCGAGTTACGTTTTATAGTCTTGCTTTAGAAAGCAGTGCGAGTCGTTTTCATTACGCTCAAGTGACGTGTTTGTTTCCCCACAGAAAGAATCTGTGGCGCTGGCTGCACGTTTGATCGACGAGTCGGAAGTTCGAGGATATAAACTCCACGTGGAAGCAGCACGATTCGAGCTCAAGGGCCAGTATGATGCCAGCAAGAAGAGGAAGAAAAGCAAAGATTACAGGAAGAAGATGCAGCAGCAGCAGAAGTAAGTTTCAATTTAACATCTTCTTTTGACCAGAGCTCTGTTAATGTTTAACTATTTGTCTGTTTGCTTTTTCTAAACAATGCAAAATATCAAAACGAGGCCTTTTTGAGCGTTTAAACTTTACTCAACACTTGTTATGTTCATGCAGACAGCTCGACTGGAGGCCTGAAAAGAAAGGAGACGTTCGGAAGAGGCATGAAAAAGTTGTCATCATCAGGAACATGTTCCATCCCAGTGACTTCGAGGTGCCGAGGGAACGAATCTCACAAATACACAACCCACTTTCACACACTCGCAGGATATAGTGAGCGTTAATCCGTCTGTTCTGTGGGCTGGTTGTTACAGGAAGACCCGCTGGTGCTGAACGAGTACCGTGAAGACCTGCGGACAGAGTGTGAGAAGTTTGGTGAAGTTAAGAAGGTCATCCTCTTTGATGTAAGTAAATTAATGTTGCTTCGGAGTGGGTTTGATCTGAGTCAGTTTTATTGAACAACCGAGCTGCTGTGTGCTCGTTGGTGCTACAGAGACACCCCGACGGCGTCGCATCAATCGCATTTAAGGAGCCCGAGGAAGCTGACGCTTGCGTGCTTTCGTTTAATGGGCGCTGGTTTGGAGGAAGGCAGCTGACTGCACAGCACTGGGACGGAACAACAGACTATCAGGTCAAGTATTTTATTCTGTTATACAACAAAATACAACATATAATCCTGGAAACCAAAGTTTCTATGTAGCTGCTTTATTGTGTGAACAAACGTTCACACAGTTGAGATCCATTTTTCTTCCGTATGTTTTTCAGCATCTTTCTCGTTGCACAATTTTTGTGCTATTTCGACAAATCATAGATGAAAACATTCCATGACTTTTGGTATTGGCGCAATTTTAGCTTTTTAAAATATTTAGCCTTTTCTGCCACTTTTTTTCTCATAGAAAATGAATTGAGCTCATTTTACATCCTTCAAATCTTTAGATCTGTTTACAACCTTTTACTGCTCGTTTCACATTTTGTTCTGCTTCAGCTTCTTTCAGCTTTCTTGTGCAAATGTAAACTTTTTTTCAGCTACTTTCAGCTACTTTCAGCTGTTCTTTCAGCTCTTTTGTGCTCCTTTTAGATTCTTTCTGCTAACTACAACATTGTTGTGCTTCTTCTAACTTCTTTCTGCTAATTTCAGCTTGTTTATGCAAGTCTTAGCTTTTTTCTGCTATTTCAGCTACTATTAAGATTACGGGTGCTCCCCAATGTCCTTAATTTTGGGATATCGGAGATCGGCCGATACTTACCGGGGTACATGAGAAACCGATTTTACTGATTTTTTCTAGTTTTAACAATTGCTAACTCTAACTCTCTAGCTCTAATTGTCTAAACTTCATTTATATTTCAGAGCACTACCTCATGACCAATTAAAACAAGTTTGTATTGTTTCTAGGATATTGTTCAAGTGTATGTTTTCAATAAACTAAGATTGGAAAATTGAAGGTGTATTGTGACCTTATAACACCTGACAGTGTCGCTTATAAGACAAAATCGGAATCTGCAGGTCATACTTTTTAGAGATCGGTGATCGGCCAGAAAACTGCAATTGGTGTACCCCCGATTTAGATGTTTTGTGCTAATTTTAGCTTTTTCAGCTAATTTCACATTTTTCTTTAGCTCATTTCAGTTCTTTCCGCTTTCTTCTGGTAGTTTAAGCTTCTTTTTGCATATTCAGCTACTTTTCAACTCCTTTTCTAATTTCAGCCTTTTTTAAAGCTAATTTCCTAATTTTTGTGCTCATTGCTGCTTATTTCAACCCAATTCAGCAAATCTGTGTTCTTTCTGCTTTCTTCTGCTAATTTAGGCTTGTTCTTCCATTTCAGCTACATTTTAGAAGGTTTTTAGCTAATTTCAGCTGTTTTTCAGCAAGTTCTTCAGTAATAAGCATTCACACTGCATTTTTCCAGGAAATGCAATGCAATTTCTCTAGTTTTTTTTTTGGGGGGTGCTCATAAACCTATAATTTATTAATTTTACTCACCATCTTTCTGTTTTTTTATGCTATTATTACTACTTTAAGTGGGTGGATCTTGACAGGCGTTGCCTGCCAGTAAAATCAGATTGTAAATGTTAAGACAGCTGTGGGGTTGGTTTTTTTAAGTTGCTGAACATCTTTTAAAAGTTATGATCAATCCCGCTCTAAAAGACTATGTTGCATAAGAGCTCATAAATCTAATAAATATGTTTGTCTAAACTTCATTTTTGATTGATATTTTTAATTGTTTGCAGTGTGAAATCAGCCTAATGAATAAAAACTTCTGAGACAAATTGAAAGTGGATCTTTTCGGTGATTTCTGTAGGTGGAAGAGACGACACGTGAGCGAGAGGAGCGGCTCAAAGGTTGGTCAACTTTCTTGGAAAAAGGCAACCAGGAAGCGCAGAAAAACGCCACAAACCAACCAACGGAGAGCAGCGCGGTCACAGAACCCAGCGAGTCCAGCAGCGCTGCAGAACCTGAGCCGCAGCCACAAACAGAACCACAACCCTCTGAGGAGCATGAACAGGAAGTGGACTCTACTGACAGCAGCCTAGCAGGAAGTGATAATGAGGACGCCTAGACTGAGGACAGTCCTGCTTTAAAGTGGAGACGCAAACGTCCCCGTTAAAGGCGTGAAGTTACATTTGGACAGTTTAAGCTGTTTTCAGATGTAGAACAAATTAAATACCGTATTTTTCGAACTATAATGTGCATTAAGTGAAACAAAACAGATAAGTCAAACTTTATTCAACTCATTCACAATAACCACATAAAATCAGTTCAAGGTCAGTTCGCACAATCAGAATTAATACATAAGGTGCAGTAGATTATCAAGCTCACTGTCGATTTTTGAGAAAATTAAAGGATTTTAAATGTGCCTTATAGTCCGAACAATACGGAAATGTTCTTTTTGTGTTTCATTTCTTGTCATTTTAGTTTCTATTGTCAGTGGAAATGCACTGAACAAGTTGTTTAGTCCCTAAATGCATTTTTTTTCATTAACTCCAGTGTTTTACAGCATTTTTAGGTGTAATTTACTCAATTACTAAAGAAATGTGAGGCCGAACTCTGTTGGGTTTGATTCTTTTATTCAGTGTGGTTTAATTTAGTTCTGCGTATATGTTTTTGTTTTTTCTTTCTTAAGACAGCACTGCACTCGCATCAACTAGGTATTAAGTTTGTGGTTTGCAGTTTAGCACAATGTGAACCCTCAAACAGTTTGTCAAAGGACATCATGAAAAATGACAACTGCCGTAAAATATGATTTCTTATTGTACAGCCGTTTTCGCTAACGCAAGAGTAGATATCAAAGGGATTTAGTGTAAATCATAAAGAAACTCCAAACTGATGTTCACATCACATCTGGCTTGAGTTAAAGCTTGAAAACACAACACACATTAAAATAAATTCTATTTGAACAAAGCACATCTGTTGTTTTCCATAGATGGGTTTTCTTATAAATTCAGCACACTGACATTTTTGACAGGCAGCAAGCATGAACAAATGTTTCATACCACTTGGAAAATTAATTTGTCAATAACTGATAAACTTTACGTCTGTGGGAATACGTGGCAGCAACAATAGTTTGCCTCCATGTTTGTGTTGACTGGGATGTCAGCTGAAATGTGCTGGTTTTAAAATTATTGACCTGATTTACATTTATCGGCTTTATCGTTTCTTCGTGTTTCTCTGCTGAAGACACTGGATGACAAAAGGCTCAACTCCGGTGCTCTTCACTGACCTCTCCCTTTCTCTTTTCTCTTTCAAATCCATTTTAACGATCCAAAATCGCATTTTTGGATTGTTAAAAGCAGCCAAGTTGAGAAGCTAAGCTACGAGCTAAGCTAACAGGCCGACCTCGCAAAAAACCCTCCGTCTTGTCGAAGCTCCAAAATTCACGGTTGAAACCCGTGCCTTCGTCTAAAAAGTTTTTTCTTTTCAAAAAGAAGCTGAGAACTTGTTTATTGGTTGTTGTTTTTTTTTTTAATTAAAAGCTTTGTGTGAAAAATGCTATGCTAAAGAGCTGAAACCACACCGAGCATCCACCATTTGGAGAACCAAAGAAAAGGAGGATTTGACAATGATTACTAATTATTGTCAAATTTCAAACATTATCGTTTATCGCAATAATTTCTGAGACAATTAATCGCCAAGCAAAATTTGTTATCATGACGGGCCTAAACATCAGTCAAAATATTGGAATTTAAACAAATGCAGCATTAATAAAATCTTTTTTTTAATTGATTTGGGGCGGCTGTAGCTCGGACGTCAGTGCTGAGGTTGCAGGTTTGAGCCCAGGTTGTCAGGAAGAGCATCCAGTGACAACACAGTTACACCACCAACAGGAACAGTTGCCATTTTGTACTTTTGGAACCAAAAGGTGTAGGGGTTCAAGTCCTGTGTTCTCTTCCACCTACAATCATATTAAACAAGTCTTCTTTTAAGCATGGAAATGAAGTGCAACTAAACTTGTAACAAGAACAATGGTCTGTTCATTTAAATTGAAGGGGTGGGACTTAAAACTTGTTCTCATTCCAGCTTCAACTTTCCGGTTCCACTCCAAGGTCTACTTATTATTTTACAGTATGATTTGCACGTGCATATTCTCATGCATCAAACAAGGAGTTGCAGCACCTTCCACACCCCTGCTTTGCTACAGGTAAGTGATGTCAAAACAAAATATACTGTGTTTGCAAAATGTGCAGGTCAAGAGCATGGAGTGACTGTTGTGTGTGTGTGTGTAGGAGGTTTCTGTCAAAAGATTTACATTAATGGTTGGATTTCACTTTGGAAAAATAAAAACTTCAGTTTTTCTTCTGATTTGTAAAAATGTAAAGTAAACTATCCTTTGGGCTCTTGCCAAGTGTCCTTCCTATCAGGTTTGAGCCTCCTTCAGTGTGTTCATAATCCACTCAATCCCCCTCTCTGCCCCCTTTAGTTTATGACTGAGATCGTATGAAGTGTTGCATATAGAGTGTAAAATATAAAATTGAAGGTACTGCATGAGTGTTTGTGTCAAGACACTAAATTTATTTACAGAATCTCTTGAAGTTTAAAAGATGTTATGATGTGTAAGTGCCTATTTACCATTTGGACAGGTCAAATACTTTACAGATTAAATTTTGTCAATAAAACTATAGTCACAAACAACCATGCATATTATATTTTACACTCAATCCCCCTCTCTTCCCCCT